TTAAACTCAAGTAAAAAATATGAAATGTATGGCAGACAGTAAGGAGAATTAACATTAAGATCTTGGGAGTGAAAGGGTTAATGTGAATTTTAGAGTCCCGGAAAAATCAATCTGAGTCCTGGAGAAGTCCTGGAAAAGTCCTGGAAAAATCCTGGAAATTTGTTTCTGAAAACGGGTACGACCCCTGGAGGAGGAATTTTAAGTAGAGTGGAGCTGTTTGACTGTGCTAGAGCAATTTTTAGAAGCCAAAAGTCTTGCATGGTTTCATCTGCACGTCACTTTGCAGAGTTTGACACCTCTGTAATTTGCTATGTGCCATGAAGCTTCTTGACAGGTCTACAGTAATTGCCTCATCGACTGATTTATTACAGGCTAATCACCAAGGGTGGATAGGCACACCAAAAACAAAGTCTACAGGGTCCCTTATACCGCCCCCGATCACTTTGCTCTCTGAATTCTTCACTTCCACGCTTTTTGCTCGCTTTGCTCTTGTAATTTTTTTCTGTCCTTGCTGGGAGCGTGTTCGCAGGCTAATCAAATTTGTACAATGCAATCCAAAAAAGACTGAAATGACAACTGTGYTTTGCATTACMTTTACATGTGTACATTTTGTTTCTTACTTAACTGTACTTGGACTACATTGTACTCTTGCAGGACTGCTCAATAATTGCTACTTTGCTGTTGATTTATCTGGCAGTTCTAACATGTTGTCAGTTTTTTTGTTTTCTGCCTGTGTTTTCCTCAAAGACAAAATGCAATTCAGTTCAGCTGGACACCATCTAATACATTAACATACGTCTCATATCCTTAAAGTTACAAAGGTACTACTGTACGGACATTAATTAAGATGAACTGAAATATATGTTGGAATATTGTAATTCAGATGTAAGGGAATATTAAGGTAATTTCACTGAAATAGAACCTGCGCTGAGATTTTTGTGAAACTTTGCCTATTGATTGTTTGTATTATAGGAACTAAAATTTTAAAATAAAAATGAGCGGTCCCCATGTTCGTTTAGGGGCAACAGCACCTTGTTTGTCCCTATAAATCCTTATAATAGCACCATGATTGTAGTCACGATTGCTTGCTAAATTCACGTTTCCGACGATTGTTGTTTGTTCTACACTGAGAAATGGTCCATATTTATTTTACACAGAGAAATCTATCACTCAGTCTCAAACAACAGAAAAAAAATGGTAGGTCACCATACTCGTTTGCGAGAAA